TATTGTCGCAAAGCGCCGACTTGTCGTAAAACTCGTTTTGGACTACCTCAAAACCAAACTCCGCACAATTAGATGCGCGTTACGTACAGCGCAAAGACCTATGGGAAATGGATTGTCTCAAAACATGCCAATTTTGTCATAAATGATCCAACATGGCGACCACAACACCAAAATACGTGAGCATAAAAGTTCAGAGGTAAAACGGAGGGATTGTTGTAGACTGGTATGCAATTGATGTTGGCCAGGGAGATGTGACGTTTACACAGCTATATTTTCTGATTCGGATAATTTGCTTGCACACACAGCCAGTAATATTTTGATCATATGACAAATTCTCATCAAGATACATGTACATAATTTTCTGCATTCAAATGTTTGTTGACTCTCTGTTGGTGTTTTTTTTTCAATATCGAGCCTCTTAAAATTTGTTACATAGTTAAAGTAGTTCTAGAGCATTTGTGCTTACACTTAGTCTATCTGAAGTGTCACTTTAAAAGCTGCAGTTTGAATGTCAAAGAAGTTAAATTCCAGGTTGCTGTGGACAAACTTATTGTTCATTTTTAATTAATTTTTTTTTTCAATACAACACAGTAAGTTTTTCTTTATTATTGAGTTGATGTGTATGCCTTTGGCAAGGCTAACATCTACCTTATCATATTGCCTTTTCAAATTCAAAGGTGATGATACCTGTGACTGCAATACAGTACGAGATGTGTACATCAACATGTGCCTCCTACAAATAAAGACTTGTTGTTGTTTTTTTGATACACTGTGGTTCAATTCGTAATAACAGCTCCGTAGTCCTGTGGTTTTAGCAGCATTTTTTTGATTTGGCAGGATTTTTTTTCGCCCTCTCGCATTAGTTCTGGCGTCTTCCGAGGATGTCATCTATAAAATTAAATCAGTGTGGCCTAATCACAAATCACAATTTCGTGAAAATATTTACAAATACAGTTACTGGTGCTGCGTAAAATAAAAAGAAAATAACTGACTTTTTGAGATAAACATGCTATTATTCCACCATGACTAAGTTGACTATAGTCTCACGGTGAGTCGTCATTTACTGATCCTATGAATTACTGCTAACATTCATGGTTTATTGCCAACATCCCCCAAAACACCCGCACACCCTCTATATTGTATATTGCAAATATGATATGGTAATAAATATCAAATCATGTGACATTATTAATAACAAATTAAATCGTTGGAACGTCACCATGTAACTCATGAGGGCGCTTTCACTGTATCGCACTTATCAACGATGCATTAATATATGTGCATTCAGATTCACCAAACATACAACGAAATATAATTCATATCAATTTATAACGTGAGATAACAGTGGTCATGTGGCATATTTAATCACAGTCCCTGATTTAATTAAGTCTTTTAAATGTTTAAAGCAACTCTCGGAAGTAATTGTGCAGCCAATTTGCAAATTCGGTAGAGAATTGGCTTAACTGATTGGGTTTTGACTAAACAGTTGACTTTCAAATCTAGCTGGCGCAAGCTTGTGGCAGCGCTCACTTTGGGCGTGTCTATATTTCAGTAGGGGATATAGAATGCGTTTACGTAACCTGGTACATGTCTGGGCTTCCCTATTTCAGAGACGATTTGCTGTGTTACACAAGACGTGACAATGTAAAAGTAATTTACAAAAAAATCTGGAAATCTCACGCATATCAAATAAAGGGGCGTCATAATTACGTACTTCCCACGTCTTTCCCGTGCTAGACTTGCGTACAAGTGATAATATGATAAATGTGATATTTACTATTGGGTTTGTCATCTTGAACACGGCTTGAAACTAAATAAAGAAACAAAGTGAGAAAAAGGTTTTTCAGTTTCCTACAAATCAGGAAGAAAATAACAAACTTTCACAGCAAAACGATCACGCCAATAAAATTCGATCACATTCGTCGTTTTGTGCGGAGAATCCCTTGTAAATTGACTGCCCCAATATTTCTTGTTGTATTAATATTTAATTGTTGTGTTCTCTATCTGTGTAATACAGAGTAAGATAGGATATTCGTTTTGCCTTCAAAACACGGGGTAAGGCACGATATACGAGTACACTCTCATGAAGGGCTCATATCACTAATTGAATTTCCATGGACGACAATGTTAACATATGACGAGATTGCTATATGGAAATGACAAACAAAGTTGAAAATATGGCTCAAAAATGGGAAATCAACATGCCAGTAATCAACCATATGAAAACAACTAACATGTTGGCCAGCTCAAACTCTTGCAAATCTCAGGTAAACAAGACACACCTACTGTATTTGGATTGCACCAAGAGAAATCACTGGAAAAACACCAAGATTAGAACATCCAAATACACACAGAATAAACCCACAGGTACACAGCCGCTAGGTAGTAAACAAAAGACCACATGTTGGTCTCACCTCTGACCCAGGTGATTACGCCCTCAAACAAGGAGCACCTGAGAAAAAAATATTTAAAAAATTTCATTAGTTCTTGCTAGGCATTTAAATTGGTTAATTAGTGGCATGAGACCTGAAGCATTTGTGTATGAAGCATGCTGGGAGAAAAACGCCCTCAGTGACAGGAGTGAACACTGGAGTCAATTTGTGACATTACATTAGTTTTTGCTTTATAACCCACGCAAGATGAACTTTGTAAATCTATCCACTTCATTGCGATTATTATTTCGATCTAGCGTGCAATTTTCGTTCCTAAGGATGGCGTCATCACTGGTTATAAAAGGATATATGCACGATATTATCATGGATAACGGTGACTGCAGAGTGACAGTGAAACTTGACAATGGTTTACCGTACGATGCGTACGATTTTAACTGGAGAGGTGAGTGTTTATAAACCTATATAATGACCTTGTCGTCACGCTAGGGCACAATTCCAAAAACCGTACATGCACACGAATTGGTCGTTTGTTCGGTATATACATGCTCAGTCAGCTTGCATCGGTGTGTATGATATACACCCAGCGACACCAATGCCAGCTGACTGTGTATACATGGACGTAAAAGACAGACCTCTATGCTATATAAAATTACAATAAAGATACTTAAGCCATAACCAATAAGGTGGCACAAATTACGTGAAAATATACTGATAATAACGGTAATAAATCCTGGCTTGTTGAACAGAACGATCATGTAGTCAGTCGGGTCACGCCAAGGTCACGCACTTCCTGCCAAAATGGCCGAGTGGTTGAAACTAGGTCATAGCGTGACGCGCGAGGAAGTCATAATAAAACGGGGAAGTGGTTGAATATTTCGGCGTGGCAAGCATGGGAAAACCGCCTATTACAAACGCCAAGGGTTCGAATCCTACTAGATAAACACTCGCCGGAACCAACACAGTGGTTTTGGCTTTCCCATTCAACTAATCGGCACATTGACGTGGTTAGGAAATTGAACACCACTCATCGATCCGGTCATCGACCAACGTCGTGTCAGAGCTACCGTGAAAACGTAAAACAAATAAACTGAAACTCATCAAACTATAAAAAGTGAACAAAGAACGTCATGAAAGAATAATAAACCTCCCAAAACGCCACCATGCAAAAGTAAATAAATAAAATAAATAAATAATATAACTTTCGAATTATACCATAGACAGTGTAGTACAGTCCTACAACACTGTCTGTCGCGCAAATTGTTTAATGGTTACCTGAGAGAGAAACAAAAAAATAAAGTCAAGGGAAATTTTGCTAGATATTAAATTGTCACGACGGCATTCCCATATTACGAAAACAAATCAGCAATTTACCTCTGTGGTGTAGTGGTACTGTGCGTGGAATTATTGATTAAAGGGGAACTAAATAGAGCCTATTTTGGTGTTTGTATTTATCAAGTTATGTATATTGATT